AAGTCATTTTAAGGTCCAAGGATTTGGAAAGTTTGGGTTGATTGAAAGAAAATGAGCAAAGAGATGGTAAAGGAAGAAGCGCCGTCGTCTTCGGGTGTCGTTTCGGAGGAGAATCGTCCTTTCGGTAGTCTGAGAGGCGTCCAATGGCGTATCAATCTCGGGATTTTACCTTCTCCTTCTGCTTCGTCTTCGATTGATGATCTTCGCAGGGTAACTGCTGATTCTCGCCGAAGGTAACGGTTTCGCCTTTTTTCTTTATTTCTTTTTCTTTTTTCTTTCCTACAAAAAATTAACATCTGGATAAAGTTGTAATTTTGAGATTCTTTTCTCATACAGATTAGCAAAATTTGATTTTTTTCTTTTTCTAATTTTAAATTTTTGAAAAAAAAATGAATTCAGCTGATTCTAGCTTAAAATTGATATAAAATGATACCTTTGAGTCTCGGGTTTTTAAAGGATTTTATTTTATTTTCCTCTGTTTAGATTATTTCAAAGATCCATCTTTTTTTTATTATTATTAAATCGCAATTCATCAATGACCCAGGGAAAATTATTTCTCTAGAAAAAAAAAAGGAGAAATGCGGCAATTGATTTGTTTTTGTTCTTTTTATTTTTCGATTTTCTAGAATTAAAAACTAACCGTTATAGCCTCAAATCTGTAATTTTATGGTAATTTAGATATGCTGGGTTGAGAAGGCGGCTGCTAGTGGATCCACATGTTCCCAAGGATGGAGGAAGTAGTTCCCCTGATCTTGTCATGGACAACCCACTCTCGCAAAACCCAGGTAATTGTAATGCTTCTTATTTCTTCTCTTGCATCCCTTCGATTTTACTTCTCTATTTGTTAAATGCTTGTATTGTTCATTCATCAACTTTTGTTTTAATTATTAGTGTTACTTTTACGTTGCTATCTTCTCTTGCTTTATGTTAAAATTTATCTGGACAAATGTTTCTGGGTCCATTGTTTGTTTCAGTTGCACGAAAAGGGAGCCAAATCTCGTTTCCTCCTTTTCCATCTCATCCCAGATGGTTTCACCCTATTTTATGCCCTTTAATCTTAGCTTGCTTGATCTATGTTAAAACAGTCGCTAATTCTTCATGCAGACAGCACCTGGGGTCGATTTTTTCGAAATGCAGAGCTGGAAAAAATGGTTGACCAGGATTTATCACGATTATATCCAGAACATGGAAGCTACTTCCAGACTCCTGGATGCCAGGGAATGTTAAGACGAATACTGTTGCTGTGGTGCCTTAGACACCCAGAGCATGGTTATAGACAAGGTATTTTCTTAAGTACTCTGCATGCATGTGTTATAAATTTACATGCTATCACGTTCTAGATTTTGGAAAACTAAATGTGCAATGCGTAGCTACCCTAATTATTGAATGTGTTTTAAGAGTTAGCATCCTAAAGTTTTTCATGGTAAGACTCAAAAGTAACATGTTTGCTGTCACCTTAGGTGAAGGATAGGAGTTGCTAATGCAAATTTCACTCCATAGCATGCAATGACAAGGTCATAGGAATTTAGAACATGATATCCAGAATCAAGTTTAATGTAATACTTGCTATATTTATATGTGAGGCATCAAGCTGGCTCTTTATCTGTTTCTTTTCCTGCTTATTTGTAGGAATGCATGAACTCTTGGCTCCTCTGCTGTATGTTCTTCATGTTGATGTTGAGCGCCTTTCAGAAGTGCGAAAGCTTTATGAAGACCATTTCATTGACAAATTTGATGGATTGTCATTTGAAGAAAATGATGTTACATACAATTTTGATTTTAAGAAGTTTTTAGATTCCATGGAAGATGAGAATGGATCTCACGGTAATTCAAAGAAAGTTAAGGGTCTTGATGAGCTTGATCCTGAGATACAGACCATTGTATTGCTAAGTGATGCTTATGGAGCTGAAGGTGAACTTGGTATTGTCTTGTCTGAGAAATTTATGGAACATGATGCCTACTGTATGTTCGATGCCCTAATGAGTGGGGTGCATGGTGCAGTAGCTATGGCAGATTTTTTTGCTCCCTCTCCTGCAGCAGAGTCCCACAGTGGCTTGCCCCCCATCATTGAAGCCTCGGCTGCATTATATCATTTACTGTCAATTGTTGATTCTTCACTACATAGCCATCTTGTTGAGCTTGGTGTTGAACCCCAGTATTTTGCACTTCGCTGGTTGAGGGTTTTATTTGGACGGGAGTTTTCACTTCAAGATCTCTTAGTTGTATGGGATGAGATTTTCACAGCAGATAACAGCCAACTTGATAGAGACTCTGAAGATGATGAGAGTTCCAGTTTTAAAATACTCAATTCACACCGTGGAGCATTAATTTCTGCTATGGCAGTCTCTATGATACTTTATATGAGATCTTCCTTGCTTGCCACTGAAAATGCTACTTCTTGTCTTCAGAGACTCTTGAATTTTCCAGAGAATATAAATCTGAAAAAAATTATAGTGAAGGCAAAGTCTTTGCAAATTCTTGCATTGGATTCTAATGTCTCATCCTTGTCATCTACATTTGGTGGGGCTTATAACTGCAGCAAGTCTGCAGTGGTGAGAGGTCACAGTCTTTCATCTGATTCAGTTTCTCCAAAAACTCCACTAAGCCTGGTTCCTGACAGCTATTGGGAAGAAAAGTGGAGAGTGCTGCATAAGGAAGAGGAACTAAGGCAAGATAGTGTAGGTAAACAAACTCCAAGTGGGAAGAAGAGATGGTCAGAAAAAGTAAAGCTGAGCCTATCCAGAACTGAATCTGATCCATCACCTGCAAGAGCAGAGAATTGCCAAAAGGGCCATAGGTCATCTGTTAGGCGCAGTTTGCTTGAAGATTTGTCGCAGCAACTTGGCTTGGAGGAAGATACTGAAAAAGGAGGCTGTCTTGGAGCTTCTAACACAGAGGATGATCATTCTATGGAAGTTCATGTGGCGGGAGAAGATTGTACTAACAAAGAGTCTATTTGTGCAGCTGAGGAGAGATGTGAAAGTGGAAGTGGAACTGTTGTCAGTGAAGAAAACTCCTCTATTTTTTCCGAGCCAGCAAGTCCTGGCAGTGGCACTAATGACCATGAAAATGACACCGAAAAAAGTAGTGTTGCGTCAAATTTATTTATAGATGAAAATGACGATCACCAGCAAAGTAACCTAGAAGATTCACCTCTGCCAGTTTCCCTTCCTCCTGAAGATGTCTCTCTAAATTCTCTGCATGAGAATGAATCTCCAGGGAAAATGGTCTCAGCTACGAAGGAGCGAAGGCATCTTTCAGGTAGATTCCAGTGGTTTTGGAAATTTGGACGAAACGTCGGTGAGGAGACATCTGATAAAGGAGGAGGTACCAATGAGGCTGCAAAATCTCCAAATCACGATTGCAACAGCAACACAGCAGACTCATTAACTGCTGGTGCTTCTCGTAATTCATCTTCCACCAGCAAAGGAGATGCTGTGGACCAGAATGTGATGGGCACATTAAAGAATCTTGGACAGTCTATGCTTGAACACATTCAGGTAATATTCTGATTTCTGTATCTTAGCAGATTTCAACTGTTGAAGTAAACTGTTTTGTTGTTGAATAGAACAGTCTAGTTTGGTCTACTTTCATACTTCGCTGAAGAGTGTGTTTGGTTAATTAAGCTGTGTAAGTTCAGTCTTCAATTTAACAAGCTTTGAGAAATTCTTAGTTGAATGAATCTAATGAAAACATGAAGCTTAACTTTGAAATTGAAGTTTAGTTGCATCACATGTGTAGAATGTTGTATAGAGTTTCATAGCAGGGAACCTTTATTGAAATTTTATAGATAGATGTCTGTAGATCAGCCTAATATGCATAATTAATCCAGGAATTGAAAATGATTTTAATATTTAGGGAGAATGATGCTGTTGTATTAGACATAACTGAAGATGGTGGTTTCTTTTTTTACTTGTACATTTCTGGATGCCTCCAGTTCCATGTTCCACTCGTTTCCCTAATGGCATGCTTTTAGTTGTATTAGTAACTGGGCTTGATCCTACTTGGAAGATGGGAGCAGCTAACTAAAAAATACCTGGAAGTTGTCTAACAACTGTTGGGAGTCTGTTTGCTTTTAAAGTTAGTCCCAAAGTATATGGTCAATATGTACAACTTTTTTTCGATTCACATCCTTTGGTATTTAAATCACCATTTGATTGGCAGGTTATTGAGTCCGTTTTCCAGCAGGATCGGGGTCAGGTGGGATCATTGGACAACTTCTCTAAAAACATTCTAGTTGGCAAAGGACAAGTTACAGCCATGACAGCTCTCAAGGAGCTTCGGAAGATCAGCAACCTTTTATCAGAGATGTGAGATTTATTGTATTTATTATGAAATATGTATATACTTTTTTTGTAATTACCATTTTTTTAGTGCAAATAAAATGAGTTTTGCTGGTTTGTTGGCTCTTATATCGTGTGGTAATGCAAATTTTGTCAGTGTTTTGAGAGATTTGAGGGTTGTAAATATGCGTTTCTGTTGTGCTCTTATTGCCCCAGAATGTAGATTTGCCTGTGTCACCTGGAAACTTTAGCTTGGGTTGTGGCTTTTTGGTTGGTTTGCCTCGTTTTCAAATGCATCCGTCATCAATGTTTAAGCCCACGAATTATGAAGTGAGGAACCATACACGTAAACAGTGATTAAGGGTATACTTAAAAACTTTAGCATCCTCTCTTAACACAGCTGAAGGGAGGATGTTTGGACAGCACCCTACCCTTGACTGAAATTCCTCTCTGGGGACAGCTACCTTTTGTACCATCCTTTCCTTGCACCCAAATGTAACTGTATATCAGTCTTAAGAATCCAAAATTCTCAGAAAATTATGAAAATTATTACTTTTCTTCTCTTTTTTAACTTCATAATAAGTTGCACGGCACAAGTAGGCGTAGCAATGGAAGACCAGTCAGTGGACAAGTCCTCTTTTAGCTGAATTACAAGTGGCCAGATCATTTCAGCCATCCCATCTACTAAAGCCTTTATACCAAAAACAGCACAAGATATAGGAGAAGCATGCCCATGTTTACAATCAAGCTCTTTTTAAACTTTCCATTACAGAAAGGCCTATCGGAAGACTATTCAAAAGAGGCATAATTACCAAGAACCATGCAATGACCGCCCTGCTCTACCATGTAAATGCTGATATAAACACTAAAGGGATTAAGTAGTGTACCCATAAACAAAATCATTTTCATTTTGCTTTGTACATTTATTTCAAAGGTAAACTTAAAAAAAAAAGAAAACAGTTTTGCCTGCCTCTGGATTCGTTCGTTAAAAGTATGATCTCTATTCTATATTGTTAAAGCCTGGAAGAAGGGACGTGATGAAGCCGAAGACAATCATCTGGATTTCCTTAACAATTCCCCACCAGTGATTACCACCATTTCCTAAACCAGGGTTTGCTGCATTCTCATTCTCATTCTCAACTGCCTGATTACCATCATCTGCTGGCTGGTTCTCATTCTCTGCTCCTGCTTGTCCCTCTGATCAAGGATACAACAAGTTATAATGGGCATGTACTGTCACAATCAAATATTTTTGTTAAATATAGTCTAAAACAGTATCTCTTTTATCTTCTCTCAGCATAACAGAATCAACAATTGTGATGCTATACAGCAAAATTATTTTGCGGTGCAAGGCTAGTGGCAAGGTGAATGTGGAACTTATATTGCATAACTAGGCCAGCCATTAGTTGCTAGATTGCATGTCTCTCTAGGAAGTTTAGTTAGGATTTAACTTTGTTCTTCATTGTTTCATTTGTTTTCACTCTGGCTTAAATACCAAGTATGGCCCTATACTTATTTATTATGAGCCCTTGTCTTTTTATTGCAATCAATTGACACCTTAATCAATTATTTAGAATCAATTAAGCCCTCATTTGAATGGAAATTTTAACATTGTTAACTCTTTTTGCCAGCTGGGATAGAATTGCCATGCAGTACAAATGATGTGGACTAAATATTACCACATGGCATTTTCAGGGCATGTGTCAAAAATAAATAAACATCATCTTTTTTATTTTTTACACATGCCTAAAAAATGCCATGGGGGAATAATTATTCCATGTCATTTACGTGACATGGCAATTCTAACCTAGTTGGCAAAAAGAGTTAATGTCGTCAAAATTTCCGTCCACATAAGAGGTCAATTGATTAGGGGCTCAATTGATTGCAATAAAAGTAGGACTCATATGACAGATTTAATTAAGTATACAGGGTCAGTTGTATTTTAGCTATCACTTTCTTCCTTTTATCAAATACACATCAAATTAGCTATTTCTAATTCAAAAGAACATAGCTTTCTGAGCTGATGCAGGATTCAATAAATCAATTGGCTTGCAATCACCAGCCACAACAATGGATAACTTGATGGAACCTCAGCTTCGTTTTGGAAGTTATCATGCAAGAGACAATACTAATCTTGTTTTTATCATATAAAATTTCAAGATTTTATTATATGGTATAATTTTTAGGTAGTATATTTAATTGCAAGATATGAATGAATAAATGCAACTAATGAAGTTTAATTCCATATACCTTGTTTAAACACCCATCGGCTGAAAGGATTTCATTTCACACAAAAATAAATAAAACAATACCTGCCAAAGCAGCATTATCATTGCCCTGCCTTCCAGCAGCAGGAACATTCTCTGCTCTGGCGGCAGGCCTAGGTAGATGAGGAGGCGCAGCTGCCCTGTGCATGCCTTGTGAAAGCCATCTTATCAACGGTGTGAGAGCTCCAGTTTGATATCTGCAGAAAACCAATGTATTAATTCAGCTTCCAATGTTACACTGAAAAGTATTGAGCAAAAATATATAGATAAAAGACAATAGAAATGACATTAAATTACCGAACAAAGTCATTTGTCTGTGTTAGTCTCAGTAAATTAAAACAAAGAAAAAAAAATCAAACTGGATGTAGAAAGGTAAATGGAAAACAAAACCACCAATCATCAGAGTTTTCCCCTCATTGTTTGAAAAAGTTGCACCTTCCTCATTTAACCGTCTAACACCATTAGTGAAGCATTGTTGATGATCCCAAGTGAAGACATCCCCCCTCCCCCAAATAAAGGATCACAAAATTATTTTTTATTTTAAAGCAACAAGTCACACATTCTCTAGCGAAAAACCTCTTGGTGACCTAACACCAAAGACCATCAAGCCAGCACTCCAAGCAGCACAAAGATGGTCAAAAACAGGATTCTAGGATTTGTACCTCAGCTTAGATGAAAAGCAGGGAAGCACGGGCATGCTTTGACCCCCAGTGTATTGGTGTCATGTCCGTGTCCAACACAAACATGCCTCCAATATGCCGGGAAACATATTGAACTTGGCCAGATACAGCAAAAAAAATGAAAACAATAATTTTTTATATGGAAATGGCGATCTGCACTAGATTTTCAAAACAAAACCAAGAAAAAGATGGAAAGACATTGCCACTAGCATAGCATTGGTGGCTGGTGGCACCACCTTGAATTGAAATTTTGAGATCATGAACGGAAATAACAAAAAATAAAGGAAGAACAGTTCTGTTGTCTGTATTGCATCACTGGCTGATAAAAAAGAAGAAAAGAAAACTCTCCTGTAATGCTGAAGCCTGAAGAAGAAGAAGAAGAAGAAAAGTTAGGGCTTCCCGTTTAATTTTAACTAGGGCTCGTAGAAGGAGCTAATAGTCAGGCTCATATGTCATTCCAATAAGTCTTAGCCTAGCCAAAAAAACAAAGGATTTTCTCTTGGGCTCTTGCCTAACTAACAATTATATGGGTTTGAGCCTTGAGATAATTTTAAAATATTTAATTGTTTTTTAATGGAATAAAATTATTTAAAATCAACACTCATAATAAAAAATTAGTTTAATTGCTCAAAAGATTTTAAAGAGAAGGATTTTTATAGAAAAAATTAAAAATGAAAATAATTTATATATGGTCCTAAATTAATTAAAAGACATTTATATAAATTTAATATATTTTTATTGCCGAATCCTTGCCATGTTGTGCCTAATTTTTCAGAAAATGCCATGCCACTCTGTCCGTATCATGTCATACCTGTAACCCGTGTTTGTGTCAGTGCTTCATAGGTGAGAAGAGA